CAAAAATCAAAGCTGCTGCCGCCTCGCCAGAGAATTTAAAAGTGATGAGGCGGTAGCTTGGGATATCAGATGCTGACCATGGGGGTTCTCCCCAGTAGGGATCTTTCTTTACATTGGTCAGCCATGGACCCTTATCTTAACTTGGCTTAACTCTATTGGTCAGCTTTGACCAGACAAGTGCCAAATTAGGTATGTATTTTCTGAAGAAGTCCGAGAGCCTTCTGGGAGTAATAAGATATGTTGATACATAAATGCAGAAAGGTTCCGAAAGAAAAGACCAATGTAAACATAGCCTACATAGGCACAGGCAGTCAGACTGCATGATCGGACAGCAGTCTGATCGCCTGCTGCATGCAGAGCTACACATGCATAGCTACACATGCATAGCTACACAAAATTTTATGCAAATAAAATTGCCTACCATCAAAGTATTAATAACATATTAAGTCTTAATATTTTCTTCAGTACAGGTATAGAGATATTACTACTCCTTCAGTACAGATGTAGAGATATTACTACTCCTTTAGTACAGGTATAGAGATATTACTACTCCTTCAGTACAGGTGTAGAGATATTACTACTCCTTCAATACAGGTATAGGGAGATTGTGGTTTAAATTAAGGTTGTAGCAGAGCTTATTACCATTATTGTTATGAGAAATGAATTGTGCATTTTGAAACCTTGTTGATTTAGACTCATTCATGTTTACTTTTTCATTTTAAGTATTACATTTGAGTAGGACTGCATAGCCTATCTGTACCACTTGAACAGCATTTTCATATCACTTACTGTTGGTGGAACAACGACATGTACAGATTTGTATAAGAAATGGTGTTAGGTAAATCACTAAATTGTAACAATGTGTTACCTAGTTTTGTTGTGTTATCATTAGGTCCATGTCCCAATGGAGGAATGGCAGCACAGATGGATGGCCGAGATAAACAGTGTGATAGTAATGTAGACTGTGGGAGAGGAAGCTACAGGTGTACCAACAACTATTGTTGTCCAATTCCTGTACGATCTGGGATGTGTCCATTTGATGGAATCCCCGAGGTGATGGAGACAGGAGAACCTCGTATGTGTAACATGACCTCTCCCTGTATGTCAAGGTCACACCAATGTGAGGAAGGGTACTGCTGTCCCCAGAGAGTCTCCACTGATGGTAAGTTTATCACACAGATCTGAGGAAGGGTACTGCTGTCCCCGGAGAGTCTCCACTGATGGTAAGTTTATCACACAGATCTGAGGAAGGGTACTGCTGTCCCCGGAGAGTCTCCACTGATGGTAAGTTTATCACACAGATCTGAGGAAGGGTACTGCTGTCCCCGGAGAGTCTCCACTGATGGTAAGTTTATCACACAGATCTGAGGAAGGGTACTGCTGTCCCCGGAGAGTCTCCACTGATGGTAAGTTTATCACACAGATCTGAGGAAGGGTACTGCTGTCCCCGGAGAGTCTCCACTGATGGTAAGTTTATCACACAGATCTGAGGAAGGGTACTGCTGTCCCCGGAGAGTCTCCACTGATGGTAAGTTTATCACACAGATCTGAGGAAGGGTACTGCTGTCCCCGGAGAGTCTCCACTGATGGTAAGTTTATCACAGATCTGAGGAAGGGTACTGCTGTCCCTGGAGAGTCTCCACTGATGGTAAGTTTATCACAGATCTGAGAAAGGGTACTGCTGTCCCCGGAGTGTCCACTGATGTTAAGTTTATCACACAGATCTGAGGAAGGGTACTGCTGTCCCTGGAGAGTCTCCACTGATGGTAAGTTTAACACACAGATCTGAGGAAGGGTACTGCTGTCCCCGGAGTCTCCACTGATGGTAAGTTTAACACACAGATCTGAGGGAGGGTACTGCTGTCCCTAGAGTCTCCACTGATGGTAAGTTTAACACACAGATCTGAGGAAGGGTACTGCTGTCCCCGGAGAGTCTCCAATGATGGTAAGTTTATCACAGATCTGAGAAAGGGTACTGCTGTCCCCGGAGTCTCCACTGATGGTAAGTTTATCACAGATCTGAGGAAGGATACTGCTGTCCTTGGAGAGTCTCCACTGGTAAATTTATCACAGACCACTTTGCTTCTTCTTGAAAGTAAATCTTATTTTACTATAGCTTGTTAAAATCTTCATCTTTTATTACTGTCAGCCTTTTTAGAAAATGACCACTCTTAGTTTCTGATTATTTTTTGTCAGCTTTGGACAGTGATTGAATGTTGCTGTTTGTGACAGGTGTATGTCCAGGTGACGCCCGACCAGAACTGATGGATGGGGTGGTAAGGACGTGTCGCGACAATGAAGGGTGTATGGGAGGATACAGCTGTCAAAATGGCCACTGTTGTCCTGCCAGGATCTTTACAGGTAATTCCAATACCCTCTTCTCATGATTATATTCCTCTGGCGCAATATACTAGTTCTGATTCAATAAAAAACGATATAACTGGAAAAGAAATTTGGATTGATAGAAATCCACAGACATACAGAATAACAGAGACAAATAGAAATCCTGAAACTGTTAAAGATATAGAGATGGATGAAAATACAGAAACTGATAGAACTACACAAACATATAGAAATACAGAAATACACAAACACATAAAAATACCACCAACATTTACACAGACAGTAATACACAGATTGAGAGAAGTACACAAGACAGCTTACCAGAAAACTGTTTAACTTTGTAATTTCTGTAATAACTCACATCATCTTACATGCAATGGTTCATTGTTAGATTCAGGTCCCAGAGCTGCCTTTCTCAGCGGTCATACATAAGTCACTGTACTCACGTTTTCTAGGTACCCACTTTTGTTGTTTCTTAATCATCATATATATATTTATATTTTGTCAAAACAAACCTCTGATGTAAGATGGAGGTAATGGACACTTTAAAGTGTAGTTGCTATAACTGTAAGGGCAGTAACAGAGCTTTCAATGTACCCAGAAACGGATATTTGGGATGATTAATTACAACACATCAGTGTGGTCGAATGCAGTTATTAGTCTCATTGTTGTTGAAGTTGAAGTATGACTCTGTTCTAAAAATTCTCAATTTGCAGAATTTATACATATCTTCAAAACAGTTCATTTCACAATAAATAATTCTGAATTCTGAGTTTCCATTGTTTATATTCAGGTGTTTGTGCCAACGGAGGAAATGCATCCATGTATGATGGTAAACTGGTGATGTGTTCGTTGGAGAATCCATGTAACCAATCAGGATATACATGTAATAGAGCTGGTTACTGTTGTCCAACCAGAGTGTACCAAGGTAAGAGACACAGATTTTGTTAATCGACAATGATGATGTTATATATATCCACAACAGGCCTTCACTTCTTAGCTATGGATTATGTACTGTAGCTAATATCATGTCACTTTTACCAGTACAGAAGGCTGCTCAACATTTTAAATTTGACCTTGACCTTTTGTGACTACAGTATAAGAACTGCCAACAATAGGTCACTATAGACAACTCAACACAGCCTCACTAGACATTCAAACAGCAGGTTATTACACACAAATTATTGCCCTTTCACGATTTTCATAACAGAGTTGGGCATTAACAAGCTTTCAGCTTACAATTTTTAGGTTTATTTGATAATGAAGCTGATCAGTAGAGGAATACTGTTAATGTTGACTGTTTTGGTACAGACTATTGTCCTAATGGTGGGAAGCCAGCATACCATGATGGTCGTCCCCAAACCTGTCATGCTAACAAACCATGTAATGGAGGGCTGTACAACTGTGATGGTGGCTACTGTTGTCCTCAGAGTGTTGTCTTTAATGGTGAGTAAAGGTGACAAAAAGAGTGCTATTGTCCTTAAACCTTGGAAATGAAAATCATGCTAACAATTTTAGTTTAACATTGCACAACGAGTAGCCCACTTTTAATAAGTAATAATGCTAGATGAGTTTTGCCAACCCAACTCAGACCACAGATGCTGAATTCAAAAGCATGGCATATAAAAACATGTTTCTGATAGCGAATGTTACCATGGTAATCAATTTTTAATCATGTTTTATTAGCTCACCTAACCTGGATGAAGGGCCAAGTGAGCGTTTGCAATCCATTGCTATCCATCATCTGTCAATAAACTTTTTTTTTTTAACTTTTTAACCTCTTCTTCTCAAGAAGAACAAGCACAATTACAACCAAATTTAATAGGAAATTTCATAGGGAATGATGATTCAGATTTTCAAGGGAAAAGGAGCTTGCCCCATTTAGGTCTTCGAAAGGGACAAACAAAGGGTAAAATTTGAGGTGGTTACCCAACCAGCTGTCAGATGATTTTGATATTTATTTATGTAGCACCCTTTGTTAATGTACTATAACATCAGTGTACAAACAGGGCCTCTAGGGGGCACACTGCAATACATTGTTCAGTACCTCGATGTGTTATTTTGCAAGTAGCTTGCTGGCATAGAGTATTAAAATACTTTTAGAAAAGAAATGCCATTGACCTTCATTCAAGGTCACAGGGGACAATAACTTTCCAATAGTTTCTTCTGAACAAGGAAAACCCCTAAAGTCATTATATATAATCTGTAGCTTACTAATGTAACAGAAAAGAGAATAGTGTGCTTCCACCAGGGATCGAACCCTGTCCTAGTCAGACGCTCTACCACTGAGCTAAAGGGAAATTTACTCTAGTTCGAAACTAGAAGGCTACCTTAATCCTATGTACAACTGAACCCTGCCACACTTGCATTGAGCACTACAACTAATGTGAAAAGAAAGTACCTTGATTGGTATTCAAGGTCACAGGGGTCAAATACGATAAAACACTAAACTGTATTTTCTGAGACACCATGAGGCCTAGAGTCATGATATATTGCCAGTTGTTTACCGAAGTTTGTCTATTGGCTAATAAGGGGAGACACATGTTTTTGTTCACAAAAACAAAATTCTAGTTGATTTAGACTCATTCATGTTTACTTTTTCATTTTGAGCATTACATTTGAGTAGGACTGCATAGCCTATCTACCACTTGAACAGAATTTTCATAACACTTACTTTTGGTGGAACAACGACATGTACAGATTTGTATAAGAAATGGTGTTAGGTAAATCACTAAATTGTAACAATGTGTTACCTAGTTTTGTTGTGTTATCATTAGGTCCATGTCCTGATGGAGGGATGGCAGCACAGATGGATGGCCGAGATAAACAGTGTGATAGTAATGTAGACTGTGGGAGAGGAAGCTACAGGTGTACCAACAACTATTGTTGTCCAATTCCTGTACGATCTGGGATGTGTCCATTTAATGGAATCCCGGAGATGATGGAGACAGGAGAACCTCGTATGTGTAACACGACCTCTCCCTGTATGTTAAGGTCAAACCAATGTGAGGAAGGGTACTGCTGTCCCCGGAGAGTCTCCACTGATGGTAAGTTTATCACACAGATCTGAGGAAGGGTTGGTTCTAACTGATGGTAAGTTTATCACACAAATGTCGTGGGAACTTACCATTCAGTGTTGATGATCATTTCAGTTGTAAGCTTTATAAATTGTTTGAATGCTTTTGCTGTTTGTGACAGGTGTATGTCCAGGTGATGCCAGGCCAGAACTGATGGATGGAGTGGTAAGGAGTTGTCTCAAGACCAACAGGTGTGGAGGAGGTTACAGCTGTCAAAATGGCCACTGTTGTCCCGCCAGGGTCTTTACAGGTAAATCTCATGTTTATGTTCCTCTGATGCAAAATATGAGTTCTGCTTCAATAAGAAAATTAAATGTAGGAATAGAAAAACATAGATACAGAAATGTATGTTAAACTCAGCTTCCATTGTTCATTTCCAGGTGTTTGTGCCAACGGTGGAAATGCATCCATGTATGATGGTAAACTGGTCATGTGTTCGTTGGAGAATCCATGTAACCAATCAGGATATACATGTAATAGAGCTGGTTACTGTTGTCCAACCAGAGTGTACCAAGGTAAGAGACACAGGTTTTGTTAATCAACAACCTTACATTGTTGTTACTTTAAGAGTTAAATATGGGCTATACTTTATATCAGATGGTAAAGTTTTATATTGAGGATATAAGTTCCCCACCTTGGCCTCTGATTGGCTGTAGAGACAATTATGGATATTTGCAAATTGGCTCTGTTAACAGCTTGTGACACTGATGGGGATATACTTTACAGAAAATAATTGAGTTAAGCTACTTTTCTTTTTGGGGGGGGAGCATTATTGATACCTTGACAGGAGTGTAACAAAATGTATATGATTGACCAATTAGTTTTACTTGTACCATTTTGCTGTAAAACATTCTTGAGCCAGGAAATAGAATGTTATGTAATGGAATAGAGTTTCCCCATTGGAAATGAGAGGCAGAGCCCAAAAAAAATATGTCAACAATGAACACTGTTATGATGACTGTTTTGGTACAGACTATTGTCCTAATGGTGGGAAGCCAGCATACCATGATGGTCGTCCCCAAACCTGTCATGCTAACAAACCATGTAATGGAGGGCTGTACAACTGTGATGGTGGCTACTGTTGTCCTCAGAGTGTTGTCTTTAATGGTGAGTAAAGGTGACAAAAAATTGAAATCATAGAAATGAAAATCATACAAAAATAATAAATGTGCAGCCTACTTTTAATAGGTGATATTACTGGATGGATTTTACAAACCAAACTCAGATCATAGAGACTCCAAAAGCAGTTCATATCAAATCATGTTTCTGATGCTGAATGTAACCTTCATCAACATTCAGGCTTTATTGTGAATCTCAACAGATCATGTGGTATGGCAATGTCCCTCATTATAAATCGTAACAGATCATGTGGTATGGCAATGTCCCTCATTATAAATCTCAACAGATCATGTGGTATGGCAATGTCCCTCATTATGAATCTTAGCAGAGCATGTGGTATGGCAATATCCCTCATTATAAATCTTAACAGATCATGTGGTATGGCAATGTCCCTCATTATAAATCTCCACAGAACATGTGGTATGGCAATGTCCATCATTATAAATCTTAACAGATCATGTGGTATGGCAATGTCCATCATTATAAATCTTAACAGATCATGTGGTATGGCAATGTCCATCATTATAAATCTTAACAGATCATGTGGTATGGCAATGTCCATCATTATAAATCGTAACAGATCATGTGGTATGGCAATGTCCATCATTATAAATCTTAACAGATCATGTGGTATGGCAATGTCCATCATTATAAATCGTAACAGATCATGTGGTATGGCAATGTCCATCATTATAAATCGTAACAGATCATGTGGTATGGCAATGTCCATCATTATAAATCTTAACAGATCATGTGGTATGGCAATGTCCATCATTATAAATCTTAACAGATCATGTGGTATGGCAATGTCCATCATTATAAATCGTAACAGATCATGTGGTATGGCAATGTCCATCATTATAAATCGTAACAGATCATGTGGTATGGCAATGTCCATCATTATAAATCTTAACAGATCATGTGGTATGGCAATGTCCATCATTATAAATCTTAACAGATCATGTGGTATGGCAATGTCCATCATTATAAATCGTAACAGATCATGTGGTATGGCAATGTCCATCATTATAAATCGTAACAGATCATGTGGTATGGCAATGTCCATCATTATAAATCGTAACAGATCATGTGGTATGGCAATGTCCCTCATTATAAATCTTAACAGATCATGTGGTATGGCAATGTCCCTCATTATAAATCTTAACAGATCATGTGGTATGGCAATGTCCCTCATTATAAATCTTAACAGATCATGTGGTATGGCAATGTCCCTCATTATAAATCTTAACAGATCATGTGGTATGGCAATGTCCCTCATTATAAATCTTAACAGATCATGTGGTATGGCAATGTCCCTCATTATAAATCTTAACAGATCATGTGGTATGGCAATGTCCCTCATTATAAATCTTAACAGATCATGTGGTATGGCAATGTCCCTCATTATAAATCTTAACAGATCATGTGGTATGGCAATGTCCCTCATTATAAATCTTAACAGATCATGTGGTATGGCAATGTCCCTCATTATAAATCTCCACAGAACATGTGGTATGGCAATGTCCCTCATTATAAATCTTAACAGATCATGTGGTATGGCAATGTCCCTCATTATAAATCTCAACAGATCATGTGGTATGGCAATGTCCCTCATTATAAATCTTAACAGATCATGTGGTATGGCAATGTCCCTCATTATAAATCGTAACAGATCATGTGGTATGGCAATGTCCCTCATTATAAATCTTAACAGATCATGTGGTATGGCAATGTCCCTCATTATAAATCTCCACAGATCATGTGGTATGGCAATGTCCCTCATTATAAATCTTAACAGATCATGTGGTATGGCAATGTCCCTCATTATAAATCTTAACAGATCATGTGGTATGGCAATGTCCCTCATTATAAATCTTAACAGATCATGTGGTATGGCAATGTCCCTCATTATAAATCTTAACAGATCATGTGGTATGGCAATGTCCCTCATTATAAATCTTAACAGATCATGTGGTATGGCAATGTCCCTCATTATAAATCTTAACAGATCATGTGGTATGGCAATGTCCCTCATTATAAATCTTAACAGATCATGTGGTATGGCAATGTCCCTCATTATAAATCTTAACAGATCATGTGGTATGGCAATGTCCCTCATTATAAATCTTAACAGATCATGTGGTATGGCAATGTCCCTCATTATAAATCTTAACAGATCATGTGGTATGGCAATGTCCCTCATTATAAATCTTAACAGATCATGTGGTATGGCAATGTCCCTCATTATAAATCTTAACAGATCATGTGGTATGGCAATGTCCCTCATTATAAATCTTAACAGATCATGTGGTATGGCAATGTCCCTCATTATAAATCTTAACAGATCATGTGGTATGGCAATGTCCCTCATTATAAATCTTAACAGATCATGTGGTATGGCAATGTCCCTCATTATAAATCTTAACAGATCATGTGGTATGGCAATGTCCCTCATTATAAATCTTAACAGATCATGTGGTATGGCAATGTCCCTCATTATAAATCTTAACAGATCATGTGGTATGGCAATGTCCCTCATTATAAATCTTAACAGATCATGTGGTATGGCAATGTCCCTCATTATAAATCTTAACAGATCATGTGGTATGGCAATGTCCCTCATTATAAATCTTAACAGATCATGTGGTATGGCAATGTCCCTCATTATAAATCTTAACAGATCATGTGGTATGGCAATGTCCCTCATTATAAATCTTAACAGATCATGTGGTATGGCAATGTCCCTCATTATAAATCTTAACAGATCATGTGGTATGGCAATGTCCCTCATTATAAATCTTAACAGATCATGTGGTATGGCAATGTCCCTCATTATAAATCTTAACAGATCATGTGGTATGGCAATGTCCCTCATTATAAATCTCAACAGATCATGTGGTATGGCAATGTCCCTCATTATAAATCTCCACAGATCATGTGGTATGGCAATGTCCCTCATAATAAATCTTAACAGATCATGTGGTATGGCAATGTCCCTCATTATTAATCTCCACAGAACATGTGGTATGGCAATGTCCATCATTATAAATCGTAACAGATCATGTGGTATGGTATGGCAAGTCTGTCTGATAAATGTTTATGCTGACAACTTCTTTCTCAGTTTCCATTGTAAGGGCTACTCACGATCTTGTGTAGCTTTGTATGTATATATACCAGGCCTATTGATCTAAGAGTTATTGCCATTGTGTAATATTACAAAATTATCTGAGCAACTAGTTCCTTAAATTCAACCTAATTTCCTTCAAAGTGTCAAATGTTAAAAATAAACCATCATTTTTATTTTCACATTTGTATTAGCTATTGATACCATAATTATAAAAAGATTTATTGCCCCTTGTGTACTTCGAGCGTATGAAAAATAAAGCAATATGATTTATACAGAGTATATACCCTGGTTTAACTGTTGTGTCATTCTCAGGTCCATGTCCCAATGGAGGAATGGCAGCACAGATGGATGGCCGAGATAAACAGTGTGATAGTAATGTAGACTGTGGGAGAGGAAGCTACAGGTGTACCAACAACTATTGTTGTCCAATTCCTGTACGATCTGGGGTGTGTCCATTTGATGGAATCCCAGAGATGATGGAGACAGGAGAACCTCGTATGTGTAACATGACCTCTCCCTGTATGTCAAGGTCACACCAATGTGAGGAAGGGTACTGCTGTCCCCGGAGAGTCTCCACTGATGGTAAGTTTATCACACAGATCTGAGGAAGGGTTGGTTCTAACTGATGGTAAGTTTATCACACAAATGTCGTGGGAACTTACCATTCAGTGTTGATGATCATTTCAGTTGTAAGCTTTATAAATTGTTTGAATGCTTTTGCTGTTTGTGACAGGTGTATGTCCAGGTGACGCCCTACCAGGGTAAATCTCATGTTTATGTTCCTCTGATGCAAAATATGAGTTCTGCTTCAAAAAGAAAATTAAATGTACGAATAGAAAAACATAGATACAGAAATGTATGTTAAACTCAGCTTCCATTGTTCATTTCCAGGTGTTTGTGCCAACGGTGGAAATGCATCCATGTATGATGGTAAACTGGTCATGTGTTCGTTGGAGAATACATGTAACCAATCAGGATATACATGTAATAGAGCTGGTTACTGTTGTCCAACCAGAGTGTACCAAGGTAAGAAGCACAGGTTTTGTTAATCAACAACCTTACATTGTTGTTACTTTAAGAGTTAAATATGGGCTATACTTTATATCAGATGGTAAAGTTTTATATTGAGGATATAAGTTCCCCACCTTGGCCTCTGATTTGCTGTAGAGACAATTAAGGATATTTGCAAATTGGCTCTGTTAACAGTTTTTGACTCTGATGGGGATATACTTTACAGAAAATAATTGAGTTAAGCTACATTTTTTGGGGGGTGAGGGAGGGGGGGGGGGCATTATTGATACTTTGACAGGAGTGTAACAAAATGTATATGATTGACCAATTAATTTTACTTGTACCATTTTGCTGTAAAACATTCTTGAGCCAGGAAATAGAATGTTATGTAATGGAATAGAGTTTCCCCATTGGAAATGAAAGGCAGAGCCCAAAAATAAAAAATTGTCCACAATGATCACTGTTATGATGACTGTTTTGGTACAGACTATTGTCCTAATGGTGGGAAGCCAGCATACACTGATGGTCGTCCCCAAACCTGTCATGCTAACAAACCATGTAATGGAGGGCTGTACAACTGTGATGGTGGCTACTGTTGTCCTCAGAGTGTTGTCTTTAATGGTGAGTAAAGGTGACAAAAACTTGAAATCATAGAAATGAAAATCATACAAAAAATAATAAATGTGCAGCCTACTTTTAATAGGTGATATTACTGGATGGATTTTACAAACCAAACTCAGATCATAGAGACTTCAAAAGTAGTTCATATCAAATCATGTTTCTGATGCTGAATGTAACCTTCATCAACATTCAGGCTTTATTGTGAATCTCAACAGATCATGTGGTATGGCAATGTCCCTCATTATAAATCTCAACAGATCATGTGGTATGGCAATGTCCCTCATTATAAATCTCAACAGATCATGTGGTATGGCAATGTCCCTCATTATAAATCTCAACAGATCATGTGGTATGGCAATGTCCCTCATTATAAATCTCAACAGATCATGTGGTATGGCAATGTCCCTCATTATAAATCTCAACAGATCATGTGGTATGGCAATGTCCCTCATTATAAATCGTAACAGATCATATGGTATGGCAATGTCCCTCATTTTAAATCTTGGCAAATCATGTGGTGTGGCAATGTCTGTCATTATAAATCTTAACAGATCATGTGGTATGGCAATGTCTGTCATTATAAATCTAAACAGAACATATTATGGTATGGCAAGTCCGTCTGTTATAATTTTATGCTGGCAACATCTATTTCAGTTTCCATCGAAAGGGCTTCTCACAGTCTTTTGTGGCTTTGTAGGTATACCAGGCCTATTGATCTAACAGTTATTGCCATGGTGTAATATTACAAACTTGCCTGAGAAACTAGTTCATTAAATTTCATCTAATTTCCCTGAAACTGTCAAATTTAAAAAGAAACATCATTTTCATTTTCTTATTTGCATTAGGCATATAGATAGCATAATTATAAAAAGATTTATAGCCCTTTTGAGCTAATAAATAATAAACTATATAATTTGTACAGATTGTAGGCTGGTTTTACTGTTGTATCATTATTAGGTTCGTGTCCTGATGGAGGAATGGCAGCACAGATGGATGGCCGAGATAAACAGTGTGATAGTAATGTAGACTGTGGGAGAGGAAGCTACAGGTGTACCAACAACTATTGTTGTCCAATTCCTGTGGGATCTGGGATGTGTCCATTTAATGGAATGCCGGACATGATGGAAACAAGAGAACCGCATATGTGTAACATGACCTCTCCCTGTATGTCAAGGTCACACCAATGTGAGGAAGGATACTGCTGTCCCCAGAGAGTCTCCACTGATGGTAAGTTTATCACAGATTTGAGAAAGGGTAATGCTGTCCCCGCAGAGTCTCCACTGATGGTAAGTTTATCACACAGATGTGGAGGAAACTGACCACTCAATGTTGATGATCTATTCAGTTTTAAACTTTATACGGTGATGGAATGCTTTTGCTGTTTGTGACAGGTGTATGTCCAGGTGACGCCCTACCAGAACTGATGGATGGAGTGGTAAGGAGTTGTCTCAAGACCAACAGGTGTGGGGGAGGATACAACTGTCAAAATGGCCACTGTTGTCCTGCCAGGGTCTTTACAGGTAAATCTCATGTTTATGTTCCTCTGATGCAAAATATGAGTTCTGCTTTAATTAAAAAAACTTAATACAGCAATAGAAATACACAGATACAGAAACAGGTAGAAAATGCAGACAAATATAACTACTAGAAAATGGTTAGATTTTGTTATAGCTCTGATAATTCATATCACTCGTTTTGATTCAAATTTAGATTTGGGACCCGAAGCTATTGTTGTCTGTTTTTCTATTCCAATGTCAGTATTCATTGCAAGGTACTTTTCCTAATTCAACATTTTTTTTTTATCTGTCATCTGAACATGATTTGTAGGATGGAAATATTGGATATTTTGAGTTTGCAGTTCCTATAAATGATCCTTGAATATTTTACTTCTGGAATTATGCATGCAGACAATAAATAAAGTGATACAAAACATCTTAGACTTAATTGTTATGATTTGGGGTAATTGAGAAGGTGACAAACATTGTTACCATCTATACCTTATATGGCTATTCAGTGTGGTTTCATATAGTTTGTATCTCCCCATAAACATATATATACCCCTTTTGCTTTTTTATACACCCGTCAAAAGTTTTGACGGGACATGTTATGGTATAGTGAGCATCAATCCGTCCACACTTTGGTTTCTGCAAGATAACTTCCTTAAATATCGCTCAATTTTGATGAAACCTGCGAAGCATTTACATTATACCAAGGCTGGGGCTAAGTTTAAAGCTGAGCAAAATCTGTTCATGATATTAAACATTAGCATACTGTGCTCTTATTGGTTGACAGTTCTGCACAATAAGTTTGTCAAATATGACTGGATTGTGATCAATTTTTTGTCAATATTTATATTATACAATGACAAAGGCTAAGCTAAAAGGCTAATCTTAAAGGTGAGCACAACCTGCATATTATTTGTTAGCATTCTGGTATCTGATTGGTCGACGTTTTCCGCACAATAACTAAGCCAAATATGGCAGTATTCTAAAGAGACGTGGTCAATATTTACACTTTGTCAAATCTGCCAATATTTAATGAACAATAGAAATATCTTTTATTTTAATGGTGTGACATGAATTGATTTTTAGCAGAAAGGGGTAATTTCAATTTCTGTTTTTATGGTTTGAAAGACATACAAAAGGGGAGAGTTCCTATGTAAATAAATTGTTCAAAGGTCATAGAGGATATCAAAAATATATCTTCTTTCAGCTTAAGTTGGTCAAGTACAGTACATTTCCTTTTTTACCACATTTCAGAAATAGTTCTCAAGTTCAATGAGTATAATGTATACAGTAAAAATATTGTTTCTTCTCACATTTCCATATTATCATACATTTATATACAAAATGCATCAGAAGGATTTTAAGTTTGTAAGATTGGCATCGGACAGGGGTATGTTGTTCTGCCCTGCAGTGTTCTTGTTCAGATAAGAAATTATAGCTTGAAAAGTCAGCTCTTTCCACACTTTTAGCTAGATTCTCTTCAAAATTTGTACACAGTATCATTGTGATAAAAACAATGAGCACCTCCCTTTTTCATACAGTTTTCTCCCCTTTTCAGGGAGTTATATCCCTGTTACTAGCTTTTATTTTGGTCAAAATATGGTGGATAGCTATCTGTCAGAATGCCATCCTAACATTTTCCTTTCTCATTTAATTCATTATATTACATGGGTTTCATATAACACATATCAACTTGCTGCTCAGTACACTCTTGTTAAAGTCAAGTAGATTTTTAAATGTGCCCCGCAAAGTCAGTTTACACAACTTAAGGATAACTCCAACATATTTGAACTATGCATCAGGTACTGTTGTGTATAAAAACTCAGCTTCCATTGTTCATTTCCAGGTGTTTGTGCCAACGGAGGAAATGCATCCATGTATGATGGTAAACTGGTCATGTGTTCGATGGAGAATCCCTGTAACCAATCAGGATATACATGTAATAGAGCTGGTTACTGTTGTCCAACCAGAGTGTACCAAAGTAAGACACACAGATTTGTTTTACTATAAGAGAGAGATACATATGGGGTATACTTTTACATCAGATGACCAACTTTTATATTCAGGATTTAAGTTCACCACCTTGGCCTCTGATTGGCTGAGACAAATATGGATAACTTGAGTTTCAATTTGACTCTGTTTGTGGTTTGTGACGCTGATACATGGGGATATACTTTACAGGAAATAACTGAGTTGTTTTGATACAAGTTTTGTTTGGGTTGACTTTATTGATACTTTGTCAGGAGTGCAACAACTTATATATAATTGACCAATTGATTATAGTTGAACTGTATTTTCTTGAGCAAGGAAATAGAATGTTATGTAAAGGAATAGAGTTTCCCAATTGTTAATGAGAGGCAGAGCCCAAAAAGGGGATTCTTTTTGATTTTTTTGCATGACAATAAAAAGAATGAATTCCACTGTTATGTTGACTGTTTTGGTACAGACTATTGTCCTAATGGTGGGAAGCCAGCATACCATGATGGTCGTCCCCAAACCTGTCATGCTAACAAACCATGTGATGGAGGGCTGTACAACTGTGATGGTGGCTACTGCTGTCCTCAGAGTGTTGTCTTTAATGGTGAGTAAAGGTGACAAAAACTTGAAATCATAGAAATGAAAATCATACAAAAAATCATAAAATGTGCAGCCTACTTTTGATAAGTAATACTGCTGGATGGATTTTACAAACCAAACTCAAAAGCAGTTCATATCAAATCATGTTTCTGATGCTGAGTGTTACCTTTCTTCGTCATCATTCAGGTTTTATTGTGAATCTCAACAGATCGTGTGGCATGGCAATGTCCGTCATTATAAATCTTAACAGAACATACATTATGGTATTGCCATTGGGTTACATTACAAACTTATCTGTGCAACTAGTTCCTTAAATTCCATCTTAATTCCTTGAAGCTGTCAAATGTTAAAAATAAACCATAATTTTCATTTTAGCATGTGTAGTAGGCTTATAGATACAATAACTATTATTCTATTATGGCTTTTTCCCGAAGGGAACTGCTCCTTATAGTGTTGTCTGGGGCACTATACCTCCCCAGACTACACTATAAGAGAACTGTTCCCGAGGGAAAGGGTCTAATAGATTTAGTACATCACATGACTGTCATTTAACAATAAAAAGACAAACATGAGGAACTTCATTGATAACATATTTGATAATTAGCAACAGCTGGAAATTTGAACGTAACATTTGAAGTTTTGATTCATGAATTGTTGTTAATTGTAACGGTACAATTACTAAAATTGAAAGAAGGTGTACAAACAATGGAATGTCGAAATCTCTGCAACATGATGGTTCTTGTAAATGCCGCCGCAAACCTTGCCTGATGGCAATAACATAACTTTTTGAGTAGATCTCTCCTTTTTTGTTGCGTATATTGACATAGAAATCTGCCAAAACACCGTTCAATTCACTGGATTGAATCACCGCTAGGTCACATACGGTTCCCCTTTCCAGTAGGAAGTCTTTAAGGACTGCGACGGCAAATTGTGTTGCCTGCTTCGTCTTAATGCATTGCTGAGCCTCTGCAAACAATCAACAAGCCCGGTCCCGAATCTTAAAGCCGTTTTGGCAGACGACAACAATGAAGTGAAAGTAGAATATGTACAGCGCTGCCTTGGAAGAAGGGGCTAAACTCTAAGCGTCATGCTATTTTCCCCGTAGTCTCAGTGGTCCAAAAAAAAGGTATAGTGCCCGTCTCCTGGTATAGTTCACGCCGTCAAGGGCGGATGCTAACTATACTAAATAGAACAAGGGTAGTTATCCAATAGGTTTCCTAGAAATTATCATGTGATGTACTCAACACAGATATATAGCCCCTTGTGTACTTTGAGCTGATGAAATATTAAGCAATATGATTTGTAAAGAGTGTTACCTTGTTTTACTGTTGTGTCATTCTCAGGTCCATGTCCTAATGGAGGGATGGCAGCACAGATGGATGGCCGAGATAAACAGTGTGATAGTAATGTAGACTGTGGGAGAGGAAGCTACAGGTGTACCAACAACTATTGTTGTCCAATTCCTGTACAATCTGGGATGTGTCCATTTGATGGAATCCCCGAGGTGATGGAGACAGGAGAACCTCGTATGTGTAACATGACCTCTCCCTGTATGTCAAGGTCACACAAATGTGAGGAAGGGTACTGCTGTCCCCGGAGAGTCTCCACTGATGGTAAGTTTATCACAGATCTGAGGAAGGATAGATTCTTCACTGGTGGTAAATTAATCACAAAGATGTGGAGGAAACTGCCTACTCAGTGTTGATGATGAATTCAGTTGTAAGCTTCATAAATTGATTGAATGCTTTTGCTGTTTGTGACAGGTGTATGTCCAGGTGATGCCCGACCAGAACTGATGGATGGGGTGGTAAGGAGTTGTCTCAAGACCAACAGGTGTGGGGGAGGATACAGCTGTCAAAATGGCCACTGTTGTCCTGCCAGGGTCTTTACAGGTAAATTTCATGTTTATGTTCCTTTGGTGCAAAACATGAGTTCTGCTTCAATAAGGAACTAAATACAGTTGTAATAAGAGATAGAATAGTGTGCTTCCACCGGGGATCAAACCCGCGACCCCTAGGTTCCTAGTAAGTACTATATGGATCTTTCTATATGTAGGTTCCCCTTGGTCCCTATTTGTGCATATATAGTCCCTTAAACGGAGTGAGGGGACATATTGTGTTTACTCCGTTTATTATTATCATGAAGTCCCCCAAATGAAGTGAGGGACTTACTGGTTTTACTCTGTTTCTTCTTATTAAGTCCCCCAAACAAATTTATTTAGGAATTGTCTCGAAAATAACAGGACTCCGTTCCGAGAAATTCATGTGCCAGGACTCCAACCTATGCAATGTGAAAATATAAACTTCCGGCCTCGGACATGCACACTGTATTACCAAAGAACAAAATGTTGTCATAAATAAATATATGAACAAGACTGACTGACAATGACAAACTACACGACTAAATGACGACTGACCAGGTAATCCTTCTAGATACCACTCAAGTGTGATATATATAAATGTCTAATTACTGCGGTTCTCATTGACAACTATTATAAAGGATGTAATTATTGGAAACTAAGATGCTAGACGCGCGTCTAAAACTGCCATGCTGTCAGTAGTTCTAATGTCCGATTTAACAAAACAAGCCAAAGATGCTGGGGAACACAATAACCATTAAAGATGGTCCTGAGTATAAACAACGTTAACATAGTGGCGTTACAATAACTTCACTATATTATAATTTGCATCAGGTTCTGCCGTATGTAATACTCAGCTTCCATTGTTCATTTCTAGGTGTTTGTGCCAACGGAGGAAATGCATCCATGTATGATGGTCAACTGGTGATGTGTTCGTTGGAGAATCCCTGTAACCAATCAGGATATACATGTAATAGAGCTGGTTACTGTTGTCCAACCAGAGTGTACCAAGGTAAGACACACAGGTTTATTTAATCAACAAATCAACAATGTTGTTACTTTAAGAGAGAGATACATATGGGCTATACTTTACATCAGATGGTAAAGTTTTATATTGAGGATTGAAATTCACCATGTTGGCCTCTGACTGATATTGCTTTAGTTGCATTTTGACTTTGTTGATAGATTGTGACAGTTATACATGGGGTATACGTAACAGGAAGTGACTGAGTTTAAATTTTAGGATTCACAATGGCTGATATGCCCTTTGAGTTGTTATACTACAGTTTTTTTGGGACTGACTTTATTGATACTTTGTCAAATTAAGAATAATTGACAAAATGCTTATATTTTAACTTCATTTACTTTGAAGCATTCTTGGGACCAGGAAATCTAATGTAAAGGATTAGAGTTGTCCCCATGGGTACTGAGAGACAGAGCCCAAAATGGGGATTTTTTTTGTATTTTTCACATCAATGAATGTTTTTTTCCTCAAGCAACACTGTTAATGTTGACTGTTTTGGTACAGACTATTGTCCTAATGGTGGGAAGCCAGCATACCATGATGGTCGTCCCCAAACCTGTCATGCTAACAAACCATGTAATGGAGGGCTGTACAACTGTGATGGTGGCTACTGTTGTCCTCAGAGTGTTGTCTTTTATGGTGAGTAAAGTTTGACAAAAAGAGTGCTATTACGCTTAAACCTTGGAAATGAAATACATAATCTTATGAAATGTGTAGCCTACTTTTATTAAGTACAATTGCACGATAGATTTTACAAACCAAACTAGACCATAGTTCATGTCAAAGCATGGTTCTGATGCTGAATGTAACCCTCCTCATTAACATTAGTTTTTGGGGGAAATCTTAACAGAACATATTATGGTATGGCAAGTCTGTCTGCTAAATTTTTATGCTGACAACTTCTATTTCAGTTTCCATTGTAAGGGCTACTCACGGTCTTGTGTAGCTTTGCATGTATACCAGGCCTATCAATCTTAGAGATACTGTCATTGTGTAATATTACTAACTTGTTGGAGCAACTAGTTCATTAAACTCCATCTAATTTCCCTGAAACTGTCAAATGTTAAAAACAAACCATCATTTTCATTTTCACATTTGTATTAGCTATTGATACCATAATAAGAAATTGATTTATTGCCCCTTGTGTACTTTGAGCGCATGAAAAAATAAAGCAATATATTTAAACTGAGTATATAGCCTGGTTTAACTGTTGTGTCATTCTCAGGTCCATGTCCCAATGGAGGAATGGCAGCACAGATGGATGGCCGAGATAAACAGTGTGATAGTAATGTAGACTGTGGGAGAGGAAGCTACAGGTGTACCAACAACTATTGTTGTCCAATTCCTGTACGATCTGGGATGTGTCCATTTGATGGAATCCCCGAGATGATGGAGACAGGAGAACCTCGTATGTGTAACACGACCTCTCCCTGTATGTCAAGGTCACACCAATGTGAGGAAGGGTACTGCTGTCCCCGGAGAGTCTCCACTGATGGTAAGTTTATCACA